GCCCTGGGTTGCAAGCGTATGTCCCTGCGGGGTGTCCTGGGGGGTGTCATGTGGGGTGCTGTGCATCGGTGAGGGTTCAGGGCGGGGAGGCTGGGATATGCTACTGGTTGGGGTGGGGTGGGTTTGTGTGCTGGTTCGGGGACGGTTGGCATCGCTCGCCTGGGCATGCGGTCCGCGTTAGGGTCCACGCCTTCGGGGTGCTCGAACCGGGTCAGCGCGCCCTAGGTCACGTGCGTGTTCTGCAGTGATTCTTGTTATTAACTCGTCAATAGCCGTCTCGGTGCCCTCCATGGCTGTGTGTGTGTCGTGCGTACCAGCAGGTCACCCCGCGCGCCAGGCGCGTGCTGGAAGGGGGTGTCAGGTGTGAACTGCGGATCAACCTCGTCCGCAGGCGCAAGCCACTGTAGGAAGGGCGACTGTCGGAGAGCATTGTCTTGCAAGCAGTGGTCCTGCAGTTGCTGATGCACGTGGTCGCGGTCCAAGCGTTGCGGTGCGACAAGCTGTATAAGCTGCACCACGGTGGACACTTCCCAGTTGCATCGCCGGATCCTGCTTCCCTGCGCCGCCTGGTGTTGTTCTACCTCGATCCTTGCCTGCACTGAACGAGCAAAGTCGTGCACTTGCTGCGCGTGTCAGCAAACCTGATACTGGTTTAGCATCCTTGGGCTGTCCTAGCCGGGTCGGCTGGGGCCTGCGCTGGCTCGCTGGGAGGTGGGTTCCTTCTCCTGGTGCTTGGGAGCAGGGCGTCGAGCCGCGGAAAGGTGCGCGGGCGAGCCGGGCCAAGTTGGGGGTCAAGGTTGGCAGCAGCCCTGACCGCTGGGATCGGAGGGATGGCAATGCCGATGTCACTAGGCTGGGGAGGCGGATGGTGTGTGACGAATTGTCGAGACGCGTGCGCAGCGCCAGCAGCCAGCTGTACCTGTATCCGGGTGGTTGGGCGGAAAGCAGCGGTCGAAACCATCCTGGTCTCCGAGGCGGCAGGTCTTGCCACTGTGGCCCAGGTAAGGGATGTAATGTGTAGTGTGGCGTGTTCCCCGAGCGCATGGATTTCAATTGCTCCGCCCGCGGTGACCGCGAAAACAGCGTACTCTCCTGGACTGAGCGAAAGGCTGACGTTGCAGAGTCCCGAGGAGGTGTCAACAGGTGAGGGTGGCGGGGCAGTGCCCGTCCTGCCGTGCTGTAGACTGGACATGGTACTCGTATGGGCGTTCAGCCACGCTTCGTCAATATCTGGAGGGGGGGAGGGCGTAGCTTCTATAGTTCCCACAAGCACGCGAAGTTGTGCTTGCACCAGGTCGGCGATGTTCCACCTTAGGTGGAACCTGCCGCTGTCCCAGTTGCCGTTCAGGAGCAAACGTCTCGGCGGTGTAGCGCTCTGATACGTGCGGCCGGAATCGTTTGCGGTGCGTCGTCCAGAAAGTGCCGTAGTATCGCCGCCGCGATCGGCTCTGGCGTACGGATCAGGAGGCCAGTGTGACAGACTCCGACTTTGTATTGCATGGTGCGGGCGGCACGGCTAACGATTGCGTGGGCAAGGCAGATAGCAGGCGGAACGAGTGGGACATGGACGACGTCGTTCGTTTCGTGTTGTCGCCAGGTCGTGGCACCCGTGTCAGCGTGCCAGGGGAGACAGTAGTCCATGTCTGAGCGTAGGGCGTCCGAGTGTGTGTCGCACACCGAGCCGTCTCCTCCTGGGCGCGTGGTGCGACATCGTACTATATGGAGGAATCGGTCTTCCAGGTCAGGCCGTTTGAGATGCCCGACCCGCGGTAGTTGTATTCGCGCGGTGGCCCGCTCAGTCTTTGCTGGTGACTCCAGCTCATTGGCCGCGGACCAGCGCCAGCGGGCCAGGTGGGCATATATCTGTTCGTTTACGGACTGCGAGACGAAGAAATGAAGGGCATTTGAGAGGTCTCCGTTTTGCCGCCCCCAATGTACGACCTGTCCTGGCTGTAGAACCGATCTTGTGGGCCTCCCAGAACTGTTGAACTGCGCAGCGAGAAGTGGCGCGAAAGGGGGCGTCACGTGGCCCGTCGCGACGGGGTTGCCAGCGGGCGCGACATGCGTCGCGCGCGCGGTGGCCCGGGCGCCCCACTGTGCGTTTGCGAAGGCCAAGATCTCCGCGGGGTCCAGTCCCCCAGGCGTGGAGACGCCGTCTCGAGCCAAAGCAATTAGCGTGCAGTCCCTTTCCGTGGATGCGGTTGCTTCGATGGCAACGTCCATCTGAGACGCTCTCAGCCCTGCCAAGAAAATGGTGGGGCCAGGTCCTTCGCCGTGATCCAGCACGAATTCCTTAATCATTGAGTAGGCCTGCGAGCCTGGAATTGCGAAGGTGGTGTCGGCGTTATCGGAGTCGTACTGTCCGATGTGTGCCGCGGGGGCGATCACGAGGCCTGCTAGCGTCTCTTTTACTGCCGTGCGGATGAGGCACAGGGGGAAGGTGGGAGGACCATAGCTCCTTTCAGGCAAAGGTGGGTTGCGAGCAAATAGGGCCGCCCATCTTTCTTGTGTGATAACGGGGAGCTGGTGGAGTCGGCTCCTAATGGACGGGTCATTGTCGGAGTGCCCCAGCTCTACCTCCATCCGGTCCACTGTATCGCTGGCGGCGGCTGCAGTTCTGTCGTCGCGAATCCTGGCGCTTATGGCGTTTGGTCAGCGTCGGTGAGGTAACTGTCGGGGCTGCTGCGCGGGTCTGCCGGTGCCCGAAGACCTGCCAGCTGCATCATTCCCAAAACACTCACGGCCGTTACTAGCTCCTGGGCAGTCGGTCTTGGGGCAAGGTTGGGCAGGTCCCTGGGGTCGGTCATCCATGCGTCTCCGTCGGTGTCCGAGACGGCGGTCGGCGCGAGTGCAGTGCGAACAGCTGCACTTCCGCGGTCCTCCGTGCGACACTCACTGTAGACAGCGTTGATGATCAGGCCGTGTGATTACCTAGGTTCAAGACGTCTGGCTGGGAGCCGCGCCATCGTCGGAGGCAGGGCTCATGGAAGCATCGCCCACATAAACCGGAGCGCTGGGGACTGCGCCGAGCTCGCACCGGCAATAATTAGACAGCAGTTCAGGTCTGAGTCGCCACCGGTTGCACGCGGGGAAATGGCGTCTGGGTTGAGCGTGGGCGTGGCTGCAGCCACAGCTGCGCCGAGGGCTTCTCGGAGTGCGGTGGTGTCTGAAGAAGCGCAAATGTCGTCCGTGGCTGCCGCGGAACCTTGTGGATCAAGGCGTCATGTAGAGTCTGTGGGCAGAGACTCTCGTGCTTGGTGAAAGCGTCTGCCGCCTGCCCAATGGCGAGTTCCAAAAAGCATCGCAGCTGCCAGGGCGTGTGGACGTCACATGCGACAGGCCAATTAGCGATGACCTCGAACGGTCGGGAGTCGATTCACCGGGTGGTGAGGAGAGGCTTTAGCAGGGTCCGGAAGTGTGGTCGTAGGGAGAGCCAGATCGCCCCTGCCCACCTGCCAGGTGCCGTGCGTGGCCATTCAGAGTCGCGCAGGTCGCCCCGAAGTAGGCTAGCCTTTCCTGGTTTCAGTGAACTCGTATCCAGCGGGGGCTGTGGGACGTGTCTTCCAGCCTGCTCGTTCCGGCGCCTGGCCAGGTGAATGCGTTCCAATAGGATGTCCATGGCGCAGCGCCGTCCTATCCTGTCCCGATTGTTGTAGTGGCCCGTCGCGCCTCGTCCTGCCTCGTCCTCGCGAAGGTGATCGTCGTCCAGGGGGCGCCGTGTCACGAGTCCTGTCCTTTGCGACCCCAGGTGGAGATCCGCATGGCCAGGTGGTAGTTCCGGCACAGTCCTGGCCCGGGCGGCCGCGCCCGCCTCCACTGCGTCCCGATCGCCTGATATAGCACTGACGACTGGAGGTGCCCGTCAGGAACCAGGTGACCCCTTATGATCTGCTGTGCTGATCTGTCGATGCAGCCCCCAGGGCGAGGGGCAGGGGTGGGTCGCCCAGTCGAGGGTCGGTGCTGGAGCACCTGTCCTTGTAGCAGTCTGTGAGTCGGCACCGCCTGATCCCAGGGCTTCGCCCTCTCCCGGCCGCCGTGAGGCCCCGCCTTCTTTCGCCCTTCCTCTGCTAGTTAAAGCTGTGCGCTTCCCGCTTAGCTTTCCGCGGAAGAGGTTCGCTCTCGCCCCGCAGATCAAACACAAATTGTATCAGTCTGTGGGCTGTTTCGACCGAGTGCGCGCCATTTCGTTCCAGTATGCAGCAGCGGTGTCGAGCGCGCGCGTGGCCAGGGTCCTCCTTTGGAAGGTCGTCCCTCCTCTGGAAGGTCCGCACAAGACGGCGCCTCCCAGCCGCCGTAGCAGGAGTTCCAGATGTAGGTGACCAGGGTGGCGCTCCAGCGGCATCGAGGGGGGATGGTCGCTGTCGCGATCCTTCGCCTGGCGGCGTGCACCTCGTCTACGAAGTACCTGGGGCGATCTCTCCCTGCTCTGGAGAGTGGGCGAGCAGGTTCCGTTCGCGCTGGAGCAGGCGGTGGTTGTTGGCGTGCTGCCCCTGTATGCTGCCCGGTATTCGTGCAGGGTATCTCGACGTCTGCCATGTTGTGGTCGCTTGGTCGCTGTGTCCTGTCGTTGCGTAGCTGCCTGATGAGTGCGCGCTCCACGATGCCGCCGACTCCATCGTCTGCATTGAGCCTGGTAGTCTTGAGCAATCCGTCATCGCCAGCCATGTCGGCGAATCCCAGGAGCGCGCGCCGGGCCGATTCGCTCTCGTCTGAAGTAATGCCTCGGTCGACCGCGTGTCTGTCCGCGTGCAGTTGGTCATCTGCGGGGACTGCCTGCGTGACGTGAATGCCGATGTTGTGTTGGAGCCGCGCGACGTCGCCTGCCGCGAGTTCCAGGTCGAGGAGTCGTGCGACAGCGTCGTCGGCGTCACGGGCGTATGGTCCTGGAAGCGGAGGCCCCGAGAGGGAGGGTCCCGGGACCGGGGGACTAATCGGTGACGCGATCCGAGTGGCCACGATGGCAGGTGGTAGCCACCCGGCGAAGGTGCGGTCTCAGCCGCGCGAATTCCAGTGCGCAGCGTCTCGATGGTGCGCGCTAGGTGCATTTCAGCGGGATCGGAGTGCGTAAAGATGCTGGGCCTTTCGCTAAGCTCGGTCCAGGCACCGAGGAGTTCGCAGACGAACCACGTTGTGAAATGGTCGATCATGTGGTCCACGCTGTCGTACCGGTGGCACGTGACAGGAGAGAATCTCTGTGCTGCATGCGCGAGACAAGTCAGCACTTATCCCCCAGGAGGTCGATTGGGAGCGACGGAGGGCCGATTGGGGACGTCCGTCTGTCTGCCATTGAACTGCCAGGCGGATGCGCACGGGGCATTGTCCTGCCCATGGCTCTCGCAGAAGACAAGACCCGCAGAAACTGCGCCTGGTGTTGTGCTTGAACCTGCGGTCCAAATCTGGGTATACCGCGACGTCGTCCCACGGCCAGGCATGCTCCGGATCACCCCGTTCACGCGTGCCGGAACCACTCCAGGGGCAGGGACAGAGCCCTCTACGGTCATCCATCTTGCCTGCTGTGCAACTCCAACGAGGTCAGAAGCGACTGGGCGGTTCATGGCGCGGGCGTTGGCGGCGTCAGGGGGGCCGTCGTGCGCGCGGTAGTGCCTCGCCCTGTGCCGAAGCTCGTCGTGCCTGAGCCAGTGAATGACAGATTGTCTGCGCTCTTGCACAGTTTGTGTGATAGCAGGACAGCGCCGCCGGGTCGGTCGTCGGGGTTTGCTGGTGCCAGTAGTGAGGCTAGGGGGCCTTCGGCGCCCGAGGAGGGACCTGCAGGGCTGTTCCTGTAGAAGCCGCCCATGCCACAGTAGAGGGCTGCTTCCTGCGTGAGGTGGAATTCTTTGCAGGCTGCGGCCTCCTCGACGGGGCTGGGGGCATCGCGGTCTACTGGCGGGGTGTGCTCGCCCTCGCGTGTGTCCGCCAGCGCGGCAAGCCTCATGGCGTGTATCTGTGCTGGATGCTGTCTTGCACCCCCCAGTCTGCCCTCGCTGTCCTCCTCATTCGCAGACGGTGCCAGTCCTGTCAGGTCCATGAGCACGAGGGCGTTGGTGCCCAACTCAAGTGAGGCGGCGCGGGGCGGCAGGCGTAGCATTGGGGTGCGTGGCGTCATTGGGGTGCCAGCCTCGCGTAGTCCAGCGTGGCCTTCGGGGTGCCGCTTCCGAGCAACATGTATCATCAGCTGGGGTCGCAAGGTGGCTTCAAGGGTGCGCGGATGTGGGCCCGCGTCGTTTGTCCAGCGCCCGTGCGGTGCTGGAGCGCCCTCCACGAGGTCCTCGGTCGTGGGCCCTCTGCGTGGCCCGCGTCGGAGCCGACTGGTTGAGCCATATCTTGGGCCGACGGGGATATGAGCGTTGAGGGCTGGCGGCGCGCCGTCGGGCGCGCCGCTGCGTCGCGCGTCGAACCGAACGGCGAGGTGGAGGGGATTGGAGCGGAGGAAGAGAGGGGGGAGCAGGTGAGCTGATGGGGGTTTCCCGATCTCGACTCGGTCGCGACGCGGATCTGGCCGGTCGCGGACGGGCCGATCCGTTGCTGCTCTGCCGCCCTCTCGCGTCGGAGGTAGAGCGGGTGCCCCCCTATGTGCGGAAGAGCTCTGTGGCTCATCTGCAGCTCGAGTTACATCGAGAAAATTGGCATTATCTCCAAACAAATAGCTTCTCTCCGCTGCCCCGCGCTGACCGCAGGCCCGGTGGCTCGCGAGGTGGGCCCTCCTTGCGGGCGGACCTGCGCGCCTACTTCTGGTTCCCGCGCCGGGTCGTCTGCGTCGTCGCCGTGCCGGCCAGCGGGCGCGGCGGCCGCCCGCGCTGGATCGGCGTCGGAGGGCGTCCGAAGCTCGGGGGCGCGCCGTCGGAGGGCGCCCTGCATGGCGCTGTCGCGTCGCGTGCCATTTTCCCCAATGGCCCCCAAGCGACGAGGTCCTGCGTGAGGAGGCATGGGCGTCGGCGTCGGTCGGTGCAGTGCGGGCGTCGTAGTTTTTGCCCTGCGCCGCTGTCAGCCCCCCCCCCAGGCTTGGCCAGGATCGAGAGGAACAGCGGGGGTAATGTCGTCGTCGGATGTTCCCCCGGGTGCGCGACAGGCCAAAGCAGGTGCACAATTCGTCTCCGTGTCTACTCCAGGTGCGCGACTGATCTTCGCAAATGCACTATCGTGGCGCGGCTCGTCCAGAGGCTCATTCCCGGGAATGCGGCTGATCGCCGCAAACGCAGAGGAATGAAAAGACTCATGCCTGGCTATGCGACTGATCGCCGCAAATGCATCAGGTAAGCGCTCTCCTCCAGGTAGGCGGCTGATCGCCGCAAATGCACCGGAATGAGGCAAAGGAAACATGAGAGAGTCATCGGCTCCAAGCTCGAAGTACTCGGCTCTCGGCCGCTCCGTCGGACGGGTCGAAACCCTCTTCGCCTCGCGACTGCGACGGCGGGTCCGACACTTCCCCGGGTTGACCACGATCAACGAGATCGACAGCCTGGTCATCCGCACTAAAAGTAAGGACTGTCAGGTCGGGACGCCTGTCCGGGGCACCTCCCGAGCGGTCGCATGGGTTCCCCGGGAATCCGAAGTTTCGAGGGTAGTGTAAGGGCTCCCAAGCCCGGCACTAATCCCTCGCATTCGTCCCCGACGTCGGTCCCCAGGGCGCCGGCAAGCGATCCGTCGGTTCCCTCGTCCATCCCTAGGTCGACTAAGGCGGAGACGAGGAGGGTGTGGAGGGAGCGCCGCGAAGGCGGCACGGACGAACGTGGCCTCTGGGACGGCGCGGCCCGCCCGCGCGCTGCGTCTGGGCACCCCCTCGAGCCCTGACCCCAAAGGGAGGAACACCCCCAGGAGATGACCTTGAGCCAAAGGCTACGGACGCTGGCGGGGATTTTTTTTTTCGCGGCCGCAAGCGGAAGCGCAGGCGGCGTCCGAAGTCAGCCCGGGCTACGAGCCAAACCTAATTACCTAAGCGCGCGAACTAACGGCCGCCGGAACTGCCTCCGAGGGACGCCGAGGAGCGACGCCGGGGACTGAAGGCCGAGCTGCAAGAAGTGCCAGGTGGGCCAGGCGGCTGACGTGCAACCATTCCAGGGGCGAGACCACTGGAAAGCAAACGAATTGTGCCTTGTCGCGCCAGGCGCCAGAGGTAAATGAGCCACCCAGGCAAAGCACGGCATAGCGTGGGGCTGAGCAGGCAGCCCAGCGCACTCAGTGGCAACCTCAGGTGGTTGAACAAAAAGGCAAAGCCACTCATGAGCAAACCACGTGGAGGTGCACCCCACCATTGCGAGGCGGCCGTTGCAAACACTGCCAGGCTGTGGCAGTGTCTGGGGACCAAAGGCCATGAACGTGCGAGCCTGCTAGCTGGAGCCGGTCGCTGGCGGGGGTATTTTTTGTCGCGGCCGCAGGCGAGCGCGCCAGCAGCGTCAAGGGTCGGGCGGGCTACGCGCGAACCGAATTGTCTAACGCACCGACAAGCCGGCGGCCTAAGCCACACCTGATCAGACCGGACTGCGCGAGGCGGTGCGGGCTGCAGCTGCCAGGAATCAGGTCCAGGAGCGAGCGCATGCATAATTAGCCGACCGAAGTTGGAGCGCAGCCAACATGGCGCGGGAGCGATACCAGGATGAAGCCAGGAGCACCATCACGAAGGAACGCTGACACCAGCTAGGCCAGGAAGAACTCACTGACCAGGAAACTGGTGCATGGAAGTGGCGCCGCCAAAATCGCACACAACGAGACTCCTGCAGGGAGTACTGATCCGGACACTTGTCGTCAAACCGTGAACAGAATGAACACGAACGGCATAGCGGAGTCGCCAGGGAAACGATGGATGTGATCAACACCGTAGCTGAACCTTAGACAGCGAATCAAATGAAACCACGCGCACTCCCGAACTAGTTCGTCGACATCTGAGGATAACTGACCAGGAACTGGGCAGGTGCACGCCTCAAGCACGTGGTCGAATGAACACGCAAGCGTCGTGGACACCGTCGCCAGGAACAGTGACTGGCGGGGATACACGAAGCGTCAACAGTTGAAATGCCCCCTCGCTTTCCTTTGAAATGCCCTTCCGAGGGCTCCCACCCTGTCTTTTATCAAAGAAAGCCTTGAATCTCATAGTGGTGTTGGCACCCGGTTTACAACAACAGCGGCTCCCGCCTGGTACTTCCTCACAATTTATTCCCAAATCGCGCTCTCGCGCGGGATTTCCTCACCATGTATGCAGGAATCGCGCTCTCGCGTGGGACTTCCTCGCAATTTATTGAGACGCCGCGCCCTCGACACTCAGGAATCACGCTCTCGCTGTGGATTCCTTTTGATTTATTTGGGAATCGCGCAATCGGTCGAGACTTCCGCGCGCCTCAAGCAAGACGCACGCTTCAGCAACCCGCCTTCTCGACCTGGCCCCGTGGGCCCGCCTTCCCGACCTGCCCGTTAGGGCCTATCCGCCCAATCTGCCCGTTCCGTTCCGCCAAGTGTTTTGTGCTCCTAGCCCCCTTCTTCTAGTCGCTCTGTCGTGCGCTCCATCCCCATCCTTCCCCCTTGTCCCTTCCTTTCTTCCCCTGCCTCAGGGGCTGCATTAAATACACGTTGCAGGTCAGGAAGAGGTACGACCAAAGACGAAGAGGGCGAGTTTCGAGGGTTTGGAATATACGTGTTGAGTGGCACGCGAGCAGACATAAGCGAGCAGTCCTCAAATGATTGTTGTTGCCTGTTGCTGTTGTGTTGTTGCTGCTGTTGTTGCTGAACTCTCACTCTTGCGAAATAAGTATAGTTGATCCTCCCCTCGCGGGTGCACATGGTGTTTTTCAATTGAAGTGCTCCCGTCGGGACTCACACCCTATTTTAAAGGAGGGAGAATTTTCCGGCTCAAAATGCGTTGATGTTCCCAACCTACAACAACAACGGCTCACGCTGTTTACTTCCCCACAAGTTATTCCCAAATCGCTCTCTCGCGCGGGACCCCCTCACAATTTATACAAGAATCGCGCTCTCGCGTGGGGTTCCGCGCAATTTATTCAAACGCCGCGCCTTCGACAATAAGGAATCACGCTATCAATGTGGATTTCTCGCGGTTTATTTGCGAATCGCGCTATCGCTCGAGATTTCCTCGCGATTCATGCAGGACGCACGCTTCAGAAACCCGACTGCTCACCTGGACGCCTGGGCCCACCTTCGCGACCCGCCCGTTAGGGTCTACCTGCGGTTGGGTCTTCGCCAAGCTGATGTGTTTTTGTCTCCACCGGTCGTCTTCGGGCCTCCACGGGGCGCCGGGAAGTGGGCCGCGCGGAGGGAGCCAGTGCCTGGGGACGGAGTCGCGGAGCGGCCTAGGGACGAGGACGGCGGGCAAGAAGAGGATGAGGGGCGGGGGGGCGGGCGAGGGTGACGGGAAACGATAAGGGGGGACGGGCCCAAGGGGAGAAACATCGACTTGGAATCGGCGATGTACATCGTCGACAGAGCGGCAAAGGCCCCCAGCAGCCAATCCGCGCGACCCTGGGCGGGGCGTGCAATCGGGCCCCTATCGGTGATCCTGTGGCGATTGGGGATCAATGCCCCCCCCCCCCGAGCCCATCCCCCCTTTACGTTGCCCCTGAGGAGGGGTTTTCTTCAAGAGCGGAGTGGTGCCGATGGAGCCGTCGGGGGATTTTTCCAAGAGCGAAAAGGTGCTCTCGAGCAGCGCCGGGCCCCGTGGGCGGCTCAGTGCCGCACGCCAGGTGCAGAGGCCGACTGGGGCATGGCACCTATTCGCAGTGAACCAATGAAATCCGCGTCCGCGCTTGCAGCGGTTAGAGTGGCTACGTGTGTGTATATATAACTGTACGTATGTCTGTCTGTATGTATGTATGTATGTATGCATGCATGCATGCATGCATGCATGTATGTATGTATGTATATCTATGTATATATATATATATATATAGATATATGTATGTATCTACACATATATATATATACACACTA